AGCCAGGCACCAATTGACTGCCCCCTCCACTGTAACACACGAGAAATGTCCCCCCCCCCGTGGAAGCGCACCTGTCAACGACAAGCAATGGCCGCCACGGGACTTGGGCAGAAGGTGGACTCTTGAGTTGGTGCTTTGTCTCTATTGGCGCGACAATTGCAGTGGACTCTTGAGTTGTGTCAGTTGTGTAAACTAACGTGCAAGAGGACCACGACAAGAATGGTCTAAGGACATAGATAGATAAATATATAAGGAGATCATCGTCAGTTGTTGTTCCCGTCTTCTAGACAATGTGTTCTTTTTTCCATTTAACTTCTATTCTTCTGTTGTCCTGATACCCGGCTCAAAGTGCCTCACCTCACCACCGACTAGACCAACACATCACTATCATGGCTCTTCCTCTTACTGGCAAACTTGCCATTGTCACTGGTGCCTCTCGAGGTATGCTCCATTGCCTTTCTACGATAAATTGAGCTCTGCTGACTTCAACAGGCATTGGTCTGTCCATTACCAAGGCCCTTGCTGCCCGAGGCGCAAACCTCGTCCTCGCCTACACATCCGCCAGTTCTGCTGATTCAACAGCTAAGCTCGCTTCTGAGCTGTCCTCCAAGCATTCTATCAAGGTCGTTCCCGTGCAAGCAGATCTCGGTACAGTGTCAGGCCCTGCCTCACTCATTTCTCAAGCCGCCGATGCATTCAGCCCACTGCGCATCGACATCCTCGTCAACAATGCGGGCGTTGCTTATAATGACAAGGTCCCTGACATCAAGGCTGAGGACTTCACAAAGAGCTACAACGTCAACGTACTTGGCCCTCTTCTTCTCGTCCAGGCCGCACATCCCTACCTACCCACAGACCGCTCCGGCCGTATCATCAACCTCAGCAGTGTGAGCGCAAGTCTTGGTTTTGTTGGCCAGAGTGTCTACGGCGGCACAAAGGCTGCTCTCGAGGCTATGACACGAACTTGGGCCCGTGAGTTCAGCGAGAGAGCTACCGTCAACGCCATCAACCCTGGCCCCGTCCGCTCCGAGATGTACTCTCGCAACTCGGACGAGTTCAAGCGTCTCATCAAGCCTTTCATCCAGAATGCGCCTCTCATGGCTGCTCGTCCTGGTATTGACGATCCCGAGGTCGTCGAGGAGGCCAAGACTGCCGGTGGTCGAGCAGGTGAAGCCGATGAGATTGCTGGCATCGTCGCTATGCTTGCTAGCCCTGAGAGTGCTTGGTGCACTGGTCAAGTCATTTGCGCCAATGGCGGTATGATCTTTGGTATGCAATAGAGGTTTTCATCATGGAGTAAAGGAAAATAGAAGTCAGGTGTTTCTCGAGGCTCTTTTGTAGTAAATTCTACGCAACTTGTACAAATTCATGTTAGCCAGTAATTGTGTTGCAGTGAAAGTCAACCTTGAGGAACACTGTGATAAGATGAACTGCCCCGCCATTAGTGGGCGGTGACGCAAATTCTGCCACTCCCTCACACTCAGTCTCACAACTCACTTACAAATCAGTGAGTCAAGACTCAACCTAAAGAAGACATAGAGATACCATGGAAACAAGACAAACAGACTCCTCTGATCCCTTCGAGGATGTCCTCAACCTCGAAGAGCGCTTTTACTCAGAAGGCTACCAACAAGGCATCAAAGACGGCGTTCAAGCGGGGCGAATTGAAGGACGATCTTTTGGTATGCAAAAGGGCTTTGAGAAGTTCCTCGAGAGTGGCCGTCTTGCCAGCAAAGCCATCGTATGGGCGAACCGAATACCACACCAGGACGGTACTTCTTCAGGAGATACTTGCACGTTGCCACCACTACCCAGGAACGCAAGACTGGAGAAGAACATCAACACTCTGTATGCTCTCGTAGAGCCAGATACACTTTCGACTGAGAACTCGGATGATGCAGTTCAAGATTTTGATGACCGGGTGAAACGGGCACAAGGAAAGGCCAAGATTGTCGAAAAGATGGCGGGCAATGGTGGAAGAGAGGCAGCGGGAGCATCACCAACATCCTGAGAACATCGGAATGGATTCGGAGTTTGGTTTGGCGTATGAGGGCTGATATCAGGGACATCGGTATCAAAGACTTGCATATTTGAAAAAGGAAAATCATCTGCATTGTCAATGGAAATTCTATACCCTCACTACCTCATAATTTGTATCCACAACCACCCTCTTCGCTTCTAATTTATTTGAATGATCTGCAAGGGTATCTGCAACAGTCAGCACATCTTCTCTTCACAAGTCACCAGCATCTGCAACGTACCCTTCACCATAAGATGTCTCTGTCACCTCATACTTGTGTACATCCCACTTTCCAGTTGCCAAGGTCTGGCCACTGGGCAGAGGAGGCATGCCATTAACGAACACATCCTTGGTCGCGTCGGTCACCTTCTCGAGAGCCTTTGCCAAACCAGTCTCGGATTCCTGCTTGACAGCCACGAGCTGCTTTTCACCAGCCTCACCGATGAGCTCGACCTTGGGAGCCGCGGCGCTGCCGACAGTGAGGAGCTGGGCGAACTGGGATTGGTTGACGACGCTGAGCTGGGGGTAGTTTCTGCGGTTGTCGCGCTTCCAGTAGGGGTTGTCGGCAATGTCGCCGGCGGGCAGCGTAACAGGGTCGTCGTACTCAAGAGGAGGGTTGGCGCCGGGCGTAGGGTTTCGGAAGTGAGGGTTCAGAGGGACACCGTTGGATCGCTCAGGGTCGATGGCCAAGAAGCGACGGAAGGCCTCCCAGATGCCCGTCGACTGGAGAGTTTGCTTCTGTACGACAGAGGTTCTATTAGCGGCTGTATGTCATGTATTGGTTTTCATGATGTATGTGCGAGGTTATTCGAACGTAGGGGTTGCCATCGAGGGGCCATTGGGAGGCATTGGGTTCGGAGGTGTGTTCTTTAGTCGTACCTTGGCGATGCTGACCACGTTGCTGGCGGCTTTGGCCGCTTGGGACGACATGATGGCGGTGGTAGGCTGATGAAGGCTGTCGTTGAGGTTCGGGTGATGGAATCGATTCCAAGTTGAAATGGCGTCGTGATTATTGGCTGACCAAGTTGGTTTAGCCGAGGCTCCACCGAGAGAATGAACTACCCTATAGACATATACGTTGCTTCCGCATATATGGTTTCGGTGTCATAAATGACTATAGAATTTATAGTGTTACTATTATGTCGAAAGTTGAGTCCTTCTTACAGCGAGGTATGTTGTGACGAAAGGAAATTGCTGTACGTTTGGTGACTACTGCCATGACAACAACGATACCGCAGCCATCTGCAACTTCGAACTGGCTACCTATCTCATACCATGTCTTCGAGCTCCGATGTCACCCATTTGTGAAAATGAAAAGACTTGCCCTAAAATCAAGCTTGGACCATAAGAAACAACTGTGCCATCAAATTATGGTTAAGGATATGTTCCAATGGCTGTCATTTCCACGGGGAGACCTAGTCATCGAAGACTAAATAGTTCTCAAGGCATCATCGAACCTATACCATAATCTGAAGCGTGAAATGTAGTAATCACCAGTGTTACTACTGGTCTATGAACCCTTTTAATCTGCAGCAAGAAACGAAAACAAAAACCCTTCAAACAAGGCATATCACAAGTCCCGATTGCCGCCACTAATCACCATCATACGTAGGCGTGTGACTGATCAGAGGCATCGTCTTTATTTGCTTGCCAGTTCTTCAACCAGTGCCTGGACACGATCAAGAGTGCCCTGGGGGCTTCCAGCCTCAGCGACCAGAATCTTGCCCTCCTTGCTAATGACAAAGACACCGCGCGTCGTTCCCTTGGGAGCCTTCTTGAGACCGATAGCCTCAATGAGCGTTGCCTTAGGGTCGCACAGCAGTGTGTAAGGGAGCTTTTGCTTCTCCTTGAAGGTTGTGTTGGCTTTGGGAGAGTCGGCGCTGAGACCATAGATGGCAAGGCCGTCCTTGGTGAGAGGCTCATAAGAGTCGCGGAAGAAGCAGACTTGCTTAGTGCCTGCGGAAGAGTCAGATGGATATTCGGATGAGAAGGCTTTGTCAACTTACAGCCAGGAGTTGATGCCTTGGGGTAGGTGAAGAGGACGACACCAGACTTGCTCTCATCAACAAGCTTCTTCAATGTGGTCTTGTCGCCATCATTGGTCTCTATCTCGCCTCCAAAGCCATCAAGGTCCACGACATCGCCAACCTTGGGCTTGCCACCGGTTTTCTTGGACTCCTCAGCCTTAGGTTCCTCAGCCTTGGGCTCTTCTTCAGTCTTCTCCTCCTCCTTAGCCTCCTCAGGCTCTTCCTTCTTCTCTGTGACCTTGGCTGCGGCCTCCTTCACCTTAGCAGCGGCTTTGGGGACCTTGGTAGTCGACTTTCTCTTCACAGGAGGAGGGGGAGGGGCAGTAGATGCCTTGCGCTTGCGAAGTTCCATAGGCATGGTGATATGTGGATGAAGCGAGAGGATCAACGTAGTTTGCGATAATGCGATGCAATGCGATGCGCTGAATGCAACAAATGAAGAGCAATGCCTGTATCCTGCAGAGTTCGCAGATGAATTTATGATTAAAAACCACGGGCGTGAAGAGTACGAAACGCGTAAAGAAAAGGCGGATGAAGGAGACAAAAACAAAAGGTGAGGTTGGGCGCTTGGGGGAAATGGGACTTGCCCGTCCGTCGCAGTCGCATTCGAATGAGGTGCCTCACCCCGGTTTGGGAGGTGTCGTCTGGGGACCAATAGAGGCTGTTCCAGGCCCTTTCAAGCTTCCGGGAGCTTGGACCACAAGCTGCTCGGCAGCGGATGGCGCACGGGCCATGGCCTTTCGCTTAGATGATTTATAGTGGGGACTCTCTGTTCTGCGATTGCGGAGCTGAAAGAAGTAACGGTTGAAGAGATGCATCAATTGAAGTTATGCTTTTACTGCGCACCAATAGAATACATGCCGAAATCATCCGTTTACTTCCAATAAGATGAGATGAGGTGAGATGTTCACCATTTACCTTTAACTTTAAACTGCAATGCCAAGACTTATGATATGAATCCCCGAGTAGGTGTTTCTTATGCAAATTGAAGAAGTTTTGTGTGCTAACTCAATATTTACAGAATTTTATGGCCCCAGGGGCTGCCTTCACTATGGCATGCGTTCTGCTCGTGTGAGTAAAGAAAGTGGCGTGTTCTTCAGAAGTGAAGATATCACATACTTTTTCTATATAAATAGATCAAAAAGACTCTTGATAGTCTCCGTAATCTGACAATTCGCAGATACACCCGCTCATCAATTCACTCCGCTCGAGACCAAGCAGTACGTCCCTCCACTTAGCTTCATCAATGTCAACTAACAGAACCCTTTGACAGAAATCGTCAAAACTACCAGGGAATGGAGAACATGCACCAAGACGTGGTTCGTCATGAGAGTCCACTGGAGCAGAGTAACTTGTAGCAAGCATCGGCGTATAGGAAGGAAATGGATTGTCCCCTGCCACTAGACCTGAGTGTCAATCATTCTGCAAAGCATATGAATTTGAATGTATAGTATTTTTTATGATTTGTTGTCTAGTTTCTCGGAGATACATCATGAAACAAACTCCATTTGAATGCCTGTGCTGCTCCGACTTCGCCATGCCTCGACTCATCAGCCCCTTACTGCGACTCAGAAAGTCGAGCTTTCTCTGCCCTTCAAATAAGAGAAGAAAGGGGTTGTGCAGCCATATGCGCCTGCTGTATACATTCCTCTGTGTATGTGAAAAATGGAAATGATAGGAACCAAGTCGCCGTAACGTTCGCCACGTATGTCCCATTGTGAACCAGAAAATTGTCTAAGCCTTCAGCCGACTAAGGGTATCTCAGCCTTGCCCCATCTCCTAATCCTATACCTTCCGTGAATTCATGTGTACATTCCTTCAACATGATCGTTCAACTCCTGTGATTCTGACGTCTGCTCAAGCTGAGGGCTATGAAGAATTTATGACTCCGCCGTAGGGTCGAGCAATAAATGGCGTGCCTCAGCTCTGGCATGGTATAATTGTCTCATGACATATTCGTAAGTCAGCATCGTGACTGTTGCTGCTGGAACAGCTCGCATCATATTAGTACCAAGACCAGCATAGAACGCTCGCCAACCTTCCTCAGCTAGAATGGTTCGAAAGGTGTGGACGACGCCCTGATACTTGGGCTTCTCCACAGGAGTCCTATTCCTGGGGCCTGAACTTGTCACCCCCATCCCTTGAACAAACTCTTCGCCGGCAAGTGGGCGCCGTTGGGTTTGAAGACGGGTTCGGATGACTTCGTGAGGGTATGTGGCAGTACTGGCGAGAATCTTGGATAGAATAGAGGCCCCCAATATTCCAATGACATGTGTTTTATCATCCCCCTCATTCGATTCACCCATTCCCTGGCCGGTAAACTTGGTCTTCAAGTACTCGTAGGTCGGGAACTGCACAGCAACATGTGTTAAGCCAAGGAGAGCTGGTGTTAAGCCTGAATAAAATGAAATGAGGCCTTCCGAAGTGTACATCTTGCGAGCTGCATCTAGCGTTGATCGGTAATGCCAGTCGTGCAGTGTTGGTCGGGCAGTTGGTGTGCCCACAGCTTTCGGGTAGTATGTAGAGTGGTGGTCTTGTGTGTTGTGACGGATATTGCTCTGTGACATGAGCCGAGTTTTGATGACCCATATTGGGTTGGTGACGATTGTACTGCTGGCGCCTGCTACGATAGACGACCAAAAGTTGACTATGTGACTGTTGTCTGTTTGGTGAAAACAAGGTCAATATACCGCCCCTCAACCGTTGGACCAAGTGAACTTACCAGAATGTTGTGATATATACCCCTTACTCTTGTTATAAACAGTAAACCACACAGCCCATGTTGGCAAATAACCCATTACAATAGGTCCCAGACCGCGATAGAGGCCTCTGATCCCTTCCTCTCTCCATATGACCTTTGCTGAACCAACGAGACCGTTATACAACTTTGGGTGGCCGACATGTCGTCCCTTATTCAAGGCGGCGTAGCCGCCCTGTGCCTGGAGTTTGGTCTTGATGACGTCGAGAGGACATGTCACGACACCTGATGTGAAACCGCCCACTGCGCCGGCGACAGCGTTGAACTGGGTATCTGAGGCGTTGAGTGCCCATCGGTGCAAGGGGGTGACTGTCGTGGAGTGCATTGGAGCGTTGGAGGATGCGTAACCGTAAGATGATGCAGCATAGTCTGAAGACGGCGACTGGGCAGCTTCGGGAGGGACCTGATCAGTTGACGACATCCCAGTCGTCCTTTGTCAAAGATTTTGTCACCAGTCGTAGGTTTTGATAACTCGATGCGTGCGATATGGACTCGAGGATGAAATGTGACCGACTTATTATCTGCCGTTATCGCTCAATCGTGTAGACTATCCCGGGGTGCTCGTCCTCAGATATCTCGACTCGATATATCTTTTGTCTCCCGGTCCGGCGCAGACGTCAAAGTTGATGTATTTCGGGAGCCGGGATCAATCCTACGACAAGTCCTACGGGTCGTAGATTGTTCGCAACCTAGTAATCCGCTATCACAGTGATCCCTCAATGTCCCAAGCCGATTCCGCCCCCAAAAAATCAAAAAGTTCCGCCTGTTGAGAGGAACTGACGTCTGCTACTGTTGGAATCTCGCAGCCGGTACCAAGGTACTGCGGGGGAACGCTCCCACGCGCCGTGACCGACCGCTTCCCGCTCAGCGAATGGCGCCGGCCATTGACTTATAAACTCGAAAAAAGCGATAGCCTGGGGACCAGAGAAACCGATGGTAGTTGGAGGCTGACGCTGAGAGTGAAGGCAGAAAAAGGACGAAAAAAGAGGTTGGGATGATAGAGAGAAAAGAGTTGTATGAAGTTAGAATAAGTGAGAGGAAGTAGAGGGAAAGAAGAATCAAGTTTCCCCGATGGCGAAACGGAGCGGATGGAGAAAGCAGCGCGGGCAACGGCGGAGGGAACGACAGGCCCTGCACTGAACGGGGCGGGCGGTTGATCAACTGGAGGACGCCCTAGATGCACTACAACCCACTATAAATGCACTACAAACAGCACCTCCAGGGTTTGTTTCTGTGTTATTTTGCTGATATGGAGTCCGCTGAATGCTTGTTCAACAAAATACCGAACTACCTAATAATCCAGGGCACAAAGCGTTATCATATTGGTTATCTGGCTGAATTTCTCTTCTAATCCGGACTTGTCATCTTTTTTTTTTGCACCGCTGCAAGCCGGTATTAGCGGAGACAATAGATAGCTTTACAGTCGAAATGAAAATGACGCAGTGTGAACTAACAGACACTAGAGAAAAATAGATAGTTTTATGTGCAAGAGAGAGATACACATATGGGAAGGGCAATGTGATTGCATATGGCATGAGAGCACGAGCATTGACAGCTGCAAGTTGCGTGCAAGGCCTGGTATCTCTCGAGGACAAGCTCCGATACCGATCTTGAACCCTTGCTCGACGTGGGATGACGACGTTGGGCGGTTGTATTCCGAGGCTTGAGGTGCAGGGTGATATTATCCGAGGCATGAGATGAGTGTGATTTCATATTCCATAAGTGGTATCAGGTGTTTATCTAACATGAAAGATATTGACAGTCACAAACTCATGCTTCATTTACACATGTTCATTCAAATTGACCGTTTCATCCCGAACCGGTTTCCCACGGGACAGGGTCGTTTCAAGGGACCCCCACATCGTCATTCTCCATGCCATGTGCATCACTCGCCACAGATTATGCCACATCACAATCTAATCTTAAACGCCACAAATGATCTTAGTCATCGAGTTTTGGGGTCCGTCTGCCCGATCGGAACCTGGTAGGCCAGCCAGAGAACGACAAAGGAATGGTCATCAAGACCACGTGACGTCCCGAGCTCTCCCAGGAAGTTTTGCAATTGCTCGCTCAGCCCATCCCCAATTCGCGCCATTTCCGACGAAACGACGACGAATTCCAACCCCAGCCTCGGAACGTGTCAATCGATCCTCCTCCAAAATGAAGTACTCGCTCGCCCCCTTCATCCTCCGCAGGCCGTGGCTCGCCCGCCTCTTCAAGCCCGCCGCTACCTGGTACGTCAACGCCGCCGGCTACCGCCAGCTGGGCCTCAAGTATGCGATCTCCCTCCCCCTGCGAACGCCAATTGGACCTCGAAATGTTGGAATTGGCGATACTTGCGGAAATTTTTGGCTGACCAGAGTCTTCAATTGGTTGATATAGATATGATGATCTCCTCGAAGAGGAGAACGAAGTTGCCCAGAAGGCCCTCAAGCGTCTCTCCAACGTCGAGTCTTACGAGCGCATCTACCGCATCCGACGTGCTGTTCAGTGCAGTTACCAGCACAAGCTCCTCCCCAAGGATCAGTGGATCACCACCGCTACGGTATGAACGACGAAACCCTGCGATCGAATCTCTGCCGGTACCTCCTCGGCAAACAAGAGTTGACGATCCCGAGATATCACGAATTGATGGAACGTCATCGACTAACTCATCACGCTCTATAGGACAAGCCTTACCTCCAGCCCCTGATGGAGGAGGTCGCCTCTGAGAAGGCCGAGAAGAACGAGCTCGACTCCATCGCCGTCGTCCGAAAGCACTAAATCATTATTGGTCTCGGGTTGAGAGATCAGACGGGGGAGGTTGAATAGTAGCAGGACGGTGGTTGAGAGGGAATTGGCGCCTCCTAGAAGAATGGTGGCCACACCTCAACGGACTAGACAGTTCCCGTGTATCCTATGTATAGACGTCGTCTAACTTGACTCATTTTGCACATATCTTCATGACCCCCAAAATAATTGTACGCATGTGAATATTTCATAAAACTGTCTCATGCACAATTTTGTAATTTACAATGTACCTGCTGAGAATGACCTCGCGAGAAGTTCATCTCCAGGCACCTCTTGTGTCGGTGTCCAAGGAACTCTAACAGAAGATGCTGATATACCGCTTCATCCAGAGGTCCCAAGCTTCTTACACGGATCCCATGTACGCTGGATGATCAGCCTTTCACAGGCATCATCTCGCCAGCGCCTCTTCTTTCCCAGTCCAATCCGTAGGTATCCCTTCCTCGACGCCATACGCCGAGCATCAAGCTGGATACTGAATATCTCCGACATGCAGCTTTTCCCTAGTTTTTCACCTCCCAACATGCGACTCCGTCTGAAAATGCTGCTTTTCCCATCCAAATATGGCCGTTAAGCTCGTGTTAAGTCGTAACATAACGCCCTCCATGATCAATGCTCAACATGGCGGCATAGTGAGTGTGATAGATAGTGAATAGGTTAAGGTGATTAAATCCTTACACTCGCTGATAGAAGAGCAGGTAGGCAACCTTGTTGTCCTTGATGTTGTCCTTGACCTGCTTAGCCTTGGTACTGCCATTACTAGTACCGTTGGCAACACTGCTCCATTTCTTCGCTCCTCCGGCAGGGCTTGTGACCTTGCTCCAGCCGTCATCATCTCCGGCATCCTCGTCGAGAACCGCTCCGAATCGGTTTCCAGCAGAACCAGATGATTGACCATCCTTGCGGTTATCTTTGATCTCTTCCTCCTCGCCGCCCTCGGCAATATCTTCACTTCGGACCCTGCGAATGACCGTGTCGTCGATGCGAATCCACTCACGTCCTTCTTGACGCCGAACATCAACAGTATAATGTCCACCACTGGCGTTCTTTCCATGGTGGTATACAACGCTGATCAACCTATACTTGGGCATACCGTCGTCACCGTACGTCTGGCGTTTCTGCCGCGACAAGGCTTCACGAGGAATCTCAAGCTCCAAGGGGTAACCGATCTTCTTCCAAATTTTGACGGTCCCATTACCTTCTGCATCAAACTGGAAGCGCTTGAGATGCAGTATGAGGACGGGAGGTAGTGTGTCAATGAAAACTTGCTTAGTGGCCGTGACATCCTTGCCACGTGGTGAGTTGAAGTCTCCCTGAAGACGCTCCGGACGAGTAAGACCCCGCAGAGCGTCTACAACATTGCGCACGTCAGGAGATCCAATATCCAGCTGAAGGGGCTGATAAGGCTCAGTGGTGATAGAGTCTTTCAAGCCTGGTACACGGAACTCTGACCTTAATGAACCACCAAAAATTCTCGAGATGGGGCTGAAAGAGCTAGGTCCTGAGGATCGAGAAACGGCGGCCTTTTGCTTTCTGCCAACTTCAAGCCAATCTTCACCACCAGCACCTGAACCAGAACTGGCCCTGCGTTCTTGATCAGATAATGCGGAGTTCTTGAGGACTGAAGTACACTCGTCATCAAGAGACTGCAACAGGAAGCCGAGGAATTCCTCAGCATCTTGCTGATGGCCTCGCTATAACCAGTCAGCAAGAACTCGTCAATATTGTAAGCGGTCAAGAACAACATACCCTCATACTGGCGAATCTTGGAAGCTGTCTGATAGCTTCGTAAACGAATTCAGGGGTGAAAGGATCACCATAGCGCTCCAATTCCTCATTCTTGAGACAAGTTCGCAAAGATTCAATGCCAGCAGCAGACTTGATGGTCTTGAATTCATGCATAAACATAATCCTTGAAAAGTCAGTCAGTTTTTGAGTCAAAGAACTTAGCATGGATGCACAACTTACATGGCATCGATAAGAGGAGTATCGCTCTTGAAGCTGTGAACAGCACGCTTGCTGATCTGGCTGAGGAAATCATAGAAGGGAAGACAAAACATCAAAACTTGCAATACCTAGCATTGGTTAGCTTAACAGTGCGACCAAAGAAGGTATCGAGACCTACAGAGTTCATATAACACATGTTCCCAGTGTTGATCAGGCCGCGAGGCTCGAGAAAAGAAACTTGGTCGGCGAGACCAACTTGGAACGAGTGAATAGCCTCCGCAACAGAGCTTGCGTTGGCTTTAGAAAAGCTGGAGGCAGAGCCGTTGGTGGCTCCAACAGCACCATCAGTACTATGGCCGTTGACCGGAGTACTAGGAGAGGCAGTACCATTAACCGCGTTCGATTTTCCAGAAGCAGTAGCAGCAGCAGGCTTCCTCAAAAGGTCGGCCCAGTTTGCAGGGGCAACTTTAACTGCAGGGGCAGGTTCGGCGGCGGGCTCGGGTTCAGCAGGCTTCTCAGGGGCTCCGTTCTCGAGGGCTTCAGCTTTCGTTGACGTCTCATGAGCAGCCTCAGGGGCTACATCGCCGTTTGCCGGCTTTTCAGCACGCACTGGCTTGGCCTCCTTAGGACTCGCCTTGGGGAGAGAAGGAATAGCTGGGGCAGGGACGGTGGAGGAACGAGCGGCAGGGCGGTTCGTCGCAGTCGAGGTAGCGCTGGTGGCAGTGTTGGTGCGAGATCGTTGCTGGACGGGAGAGATGGGAGAATCGGCAGCCTTTACTTCAGCTGTCTCAGAGGGAGCAGCCGAGGAAGCGGGGGTGAGAACCGTGACCGAATGCTGAGTGGCATTAGCTTCAGGTGCATTGGCATGCTCTGTGGCCGCTTGTTGCTGTTCAACTGGTAAAGATAAAGCTTCACTGTCAGCATTGAGTTGCCTCCTCCGTCTTCTCGACTTTGCGGCCCTAGCAGGGAACTTGAAATCGGGGTGAGATGACCACGGTAGCTGCTAGGGTCAGTTTGAGTAAGATTTGATATCAGTCGAAAAACTTACAGGTGCACGGAAAGGTTCCTTGGGAGCGGGAGGAGGCGAAGGCACCCTGGTCGGCTCAACAGGCTCGACAGGCGCAGCAGGAGCGGGAGGAACTGGCTCAGTCTCCTGGGGGACCGGGGGAGTTGGGGGAGGAATCATCTGTGACGAGTGGGTGGAGGTCGGAGTTTGGGGCGGGATTGGAGCCGCAGCCGGAGGTTGGTAGGGATTCGACAAAGCAGGTGACTGTTGCTGAGCTGGTCGAGGAGTATAGCTCGGAGGAACGCTCACGCCAGACATGGGGATGTACTGAGGCATGGCAGGTGGTGATCGTGCGAAGTTCTGGTAAGGCACATATCCAGGAGAATGCATTCCAGCATTTTGATACTGTGCGGTTGGGTATTGACCATTCTGATACTGTCCAGCCTGATACTGTCCGCCTTGATACTGCGCGTTCGGATACTGTGCGTTCTGGTAGTGTTGACCCTGGTAGTGTGGCTGATAACCGTAGTACGGCTGGTTGTAGGGCATGTAGTTAGGATACATAGCATTCATGTGCTGGTGATGTTGCTGGTACGGAACATAGGGAGGAGGCTGCCTCCGACGAGGCGCTCCAGGACCGCCGACCATATCGGCGCCGTGAGCTCCTCCCTGTATATTCTGCCCAGCCGGCAGATGGCGGTTACTCATCGTGCCGGCTTGGGGATTGAGTGAGGACGGGAGTCGCCCAGTTGATGCGACACCCGTGTGAACAGCGTGTGAGCCTCCTCTCGCGGACGGTACAGGATTCGTATGCGGCAGGCTTCAGTTTGACGAAGTTTCTCGGGTCGATACGGCGAGGGCGTTTGCGACGCGACACGAGCTGTGGGCGGCCTAACGTTGACCGGGAAAAAGTAAGTTGATGGGTGGATTTGTCAAGTCGGCACGGGTGAACAAAAGGCGGCAGACTCAAGCCAATAAAGCCGCACAAACAAAGGATGGAAAACGAAGTGCAACAAAGAATTCCGAAATAAAAATTGAATGACTTGGTTCAATGAGCGCAGTCGAAGCCGAAGAGTAGACGCACTGAGAGAGAGGATGAGGGAGAGGGAGAGGATTTGCCGAGTTGCGTCAGGCAAAACAGGGGACGCTGGACGTTGCGTTGCGATGGTAGGTGAAGTGGTAGCGTAAAACGGATGTCAGTCCGTCCAGCGTAGAATAAAATTATCCACCTCAAGGCGCGGGCTTCTATGGCTATGACCTATGAGCACTGACAAACTCAAGCTGCAACGCAGGGCACGCACGACAGCAGCACGCACTGCACGAGCCGGTACAAACTAAAAGCACAAGGTTCATTGATTGGGGGCAAATGTTGCTGTCTGAGGCAGAAAGTCGACTCCAAACGAGGGGACTCGGATCCACTCACTTAAGGCCAAGCCCCGGCATCGCTCTCCAATATCAATACCCTGGCTAAGATCACTGGATTGAAACTACAACTATTAGGCAATAGAGGGCAATGAGTGAGTGCAATGCCCTCTGTTGCTGTTAGTGTTCTTTACCTTTGTCCGTTGGGGCTGAAGCCTCTTTTAAACTCTCAACCTTATCACAGAAAATACAGCATAACCAAGCCATGATGATAACGGCTAAGCTACCAGTATAGATATTCAATTATGATCCAGTTTACTCCATGTACCTGTACCAATGCTTCATATCCCACCCTGTAGCCTGGATACCTGAACTCCCACAAAGACAAAAGATATACGCTCAATATCCTTACAATACAATCATTCCCATTCTTCCAATTCTACTCATCGCGGAACAGCCATCTACCACCGGGGCGCATAGCTTCCCGGTGTCTGTCCCGGACCGTCTGCTTTTCTCGCTGAGCAGCCTCTGATCTCTCTTGCTCCAACTCCTGCGTGTTAGGAAAGTCGGCGTTCCAAAAGCCTGGAGGACTTCGCATTCTTGAGTAGTGGAATCGGTGCGTCCCATACTTATTGGCAAGCTCCTGGGTCTTGGCTTCAACCCATAACTCTTCTCTCTCCTTTTTGTCCATGGTTCCCAGGCGGTATGCAAAATCACCCAGATACTCCTCCAGCAACTTCTGCTCCTCTTGTCGCTGGGCAGCTGTTAAAGGGGAATTTGGACGTTCAGATAAAGCGAGGGCACGCCAATCCTTGCCGCAACAATGCAGATCGGTACAGCCTTGCATGCGAGACCTCTCGTTTCTGTCACGTACCACATCAGAAAAAGCAAAATCGTGACCCTCGTTGGCTTGGGGATTGATTTTGAAGTCGTCAGGGCGTAGTTCCGATATCGGTTTGCGTCGCAGAGTCCCTTCCTTGGAGCCCAAAGGAGACCGCGTATTCTGGGGTGTAAGCTTGGAGGTAGCGCCTAGATCTGTAATTCGACTCGGAGTATCAAGCTGTTGAGCGGGAGTTCTGTCTCTAGCTCGACTCCCTTGTTCGAAAGGTAATACTCGCCGTCCTGGAATTGCAAGGTCTTCCACGGTTGTGCTTGGTCTTGTTGCCGTTCTGGGGGTAAGTCGACCAGTAGGTGAATTCTGGGCGGCAGGACTGTTCAAAAGTGTATCAAGTCTCCCTCTAGGGGTTGTGTTTGCATCCTTTTCCTTTCTGTAGGCCTCGCCATCTTCAGCCAGAGTCGAGATACCACGTCCCAACCCCTTTCTGAGGGGAGTGTCTGGTTTTTCTCGAGTTGACTGCACCACCCTTCGATTTACGCTCAATGGCGTGAGTGCTGAGGTTCTCTCGATTGGCCGAGCCATCTGAGATACATGGTCAGGACGAACGAAGAGAGGTTGGGGGGTCGTGGCTGTATCAAATGCTTCCCTATGCATTTGTTCCAACTTTTGTGACTCTTCTAGCTCACGCCGTTTCCTGGGCGTCAACAATCTTTGTGCAACGTCTCCCAAGTCTATACTTTCTTGTGCGAGGAGAGTAGCCGGCCCCAACGGTTGTATGGGGCTCGAGGATCGCTCATTGGGCTCAACTTTCACTTTTTGTAATGGCGAGTCATTGGGATCTGCATCGTTGCGTTTCCTCTTGCGAACCTCTCTTTCTGACACAACAACTGGTGTGTCGGATGTCGGTTCTTGCTTAATCTTCACTTCGCTGACATAGCCCTGAAGTGGTAGCTCTGGTAGGTCCAGTAGATCCTCCTCGTGGGGCCTCGATTCCCCCTCGCTTTGTGTAGAATCCGAGCTAGGGTTGGCGGCTTTTGTGTCAGGAACAGGCTGATTGTTGTCAGCATGGAGAGACGCCGCGGCTAGAGGTGGAAGTTCCAGATCCGCTTGCTCTAGGCCAGCTTCCGAAGCGAAACTGGTGCTGGGGCTGGGAGCAGCATCTTCTGTCCTTGCCGCAGGGAGCGTGGTTGCCCGAGAGCTTCTGTTCTGACGATCCGTGATGCTGATTCGATGCTCGTCCTCAGCTGCCTTGATCCTTTTTTCCAGCATCATCGCATGATTAATCCATCGATCGCGCTCCTCTTTTCTTTTCCTCAAGGCATCCTTTGCCTGTTTGAAGTTTACCGAAAGTGCCTTAAACTTGTGGCTAACTTTAGCACATTCAAGCTTCCAGTCTGGCTCGTTTTCTGGTGTTTTGCTCTCCGGGGATTCTCGCCGGGCTGATGCCTGTGAGTTCTCTGCCGTCTTGGTTGTTGCTTGCTGGAGCTGTTGCTTTAATCTTGCATTTTCATCCATCAACTCAGACGCTCTAGACGCGTAATCATCCCGCTGCTGAAGAGCTTCATGAAGCTCCTTCTGGGCACTTTTAAGATCTAAAGCGTGTTAGACATCTCATTCACGCTCATGTTCTTAGATAAATGACGTACCTGATGCGATCTGCTGGTCAATTAAATCACACGCATTATTTATGGCGTCAAAAAGAGCCGGACGACCAGAAGCAAGCCAACTCGTCATCGTTTTATATACAAACAAAATGACATTTCTGTTGACTCGTCTTTCCGAGAATGTGTATAACGTTGAAGTAGTGATGTACCTGGGCAGGCTGGGCTGATGCAACCTCGACGCGTCTCCACAGTTTACCGACGCGGCGATTTCCACTTAAGGGACGCCCGCTGTCGGTGGACACACGTGACCACCCTTGGAAGACTCATGATGAGATATCAAGAATTTGAATCATGAGATGAAAGGGGATCTGAGGAGCTTGGAGAATCTCCTATTGATAGCAGGCTCATTAGAAGGTTAGCGATGTGAAAGATGGAGAAGTCCAATTGTGGTACTAATGGTATTCTGAAAACTACTGGGTACCTAAAGCTCCAAGCTTGTTCTGTTCCAACAACTATATGTGCGCCCTGCTTGTGACGTGCATCTGAAAATACACTCGCTATAATTATACAACTGATATTGTTCATTAGTCTTCATCCTTAGCAAGTGTCCAGCACTTGCGCATCCCTGTACCCATAGACTCTTCATCAACAGCTTCAGGAGTCGCCCATCTCAGTCGACTTGAAGCAAGCGACTTTGTGTCATTCAAGTCACCATCTTCCAGGCTGAATAAGTGGACATGCATCGTAAGCTTCAAATGAGAAAAAAGCCACGGTACACTGCCAAGCTCTTCCATATGTTTAGGTCTCACTGCTTTACCTCCGTGCTCACCTGCCAGCTTGGACACGTATGACAATGCCTTCGATCTTCGCTTTGCCGGCGTGTTACCCTCCTTAGGGTCTTCCATAATATAGCTGGGGAATTCCCACAGACCAGCGAGAAGTCCCTTCTCTGGACGTTTCTGAACCAGATATTGCCCGTCACCGCGGCGAATCACGCAGACTAATGTCTCTTCTTCTCTGACTGCCTTTTTGATGACTTTGAGCGGGAATTTGCGTGCATGATCGACAATAACTTCCATATCACGAGGACCTGGGCCCGTTTCCACTTTCGTGGAAGCCTTCTTATCTCCAGATGGTCCCTTGAAGGCAAATGCGGCCAAAGTCATCTGCTTGCCTTGTCCTCCATTCGTCTTGGCCTTTTTGGAGGCCTTGGCTTCCACCTTGACCTCTGGCTCGTCTAAAGCTGTTGATTCTTCAAAGGGCTCGCAGAGTTCGCACAAATCTTCGATGTCCCCAATCTTTGTATCACGGCCTTCCCTTGGGATTAACGTTTGTCCTTCAGCGTAGGCACGGCAGGTCGAAGTAATGGGGCACTCGGAGCAGTTTGGCTTGGGTATGCAGATTGTGCTTCCCAATTCCATGAGTGCTTGTCCCCAACGTCCAGGGCGATCGCTTGTTTCGACTTCTTCGTTGCTTTGAGCATCAGTCCCGTCTCGCGCAATAGCTTTGACCAAAGCATCGGCAGCAGCCCATAGTGTATCGATCACGACTTTGTTGGTTTTCACGTTGCCGAATAGCCCAAGTTGTCGGCTCAACACGCGTAGAACGTTTCCATCAACCATCGGCGCAGCTCGCCCAAAGACAATGGCTGAAATGGCACCGGCAGTGTATCGCCCAACACCAGGAACCTTTGCCTCGAGATCTTGTGTGCAGGAAGGCAAAAGTCCTTCCATAGTAGAATCGTTCACCACAAGTTTTGCCGCCTCGTGAATTCTTGTTGCTCTGCTGTAGTATCCCAAGCCACGCCAGGCACTGAGAACATCATCGGCACTTGCAGCAGCGAGATCGTGGATCGTGGGCCACTTTTCCATCCATCTGTTCCAGTAGTCTATGACCACAGCAACTCGCGTCTGCTGCAGCATGATCTCACTGATCCAGACCTCATAAGCTCGTCGTTCCAGGAGGTTGCGAAGCTCTGTTTGACCATGATCCTTTGGATTTATCCAGGACTTGCGCCATGGCATCGAACGCTTGGTACTCACGCCGTCAAACCAGCTGAGAAGTGCCTGGCGAGAAGAAGACTCTTTCAGTAATAGGGGTCGGTGATACGAGAGAGGATGATGCCTTGACGGAGGGGTGCATGGGTTCTGGCATGTCTCCCCTTCATTTGAGAACAGAGCCTCATGAATCTTGGAGTTTGCAATTTTGCCTTTTGCGGGCTGCGTTTTCCGTCGCTTTGCTACAGGCAGCTTGATATCGTTTTCTGGCGTCGCGTCTCTCTCAGACGCGTCAAAGTCTTCGTCATGAGAAGGCGAGGGGCGCTTAGCCGCGAGATTCTTAGTTAAGGAATTCTTATCATCTTCAGGCTCCAACTGGGATAAGAATTTTTGCGATGGATTGATTGCGCTTGAGCGCGTTGCTCGCGCTTGTGTTTTCTGAAGGAATTTGTCCATGATGTCGTGTCTCCTTAACAGTCCCTCGAGTGAAAGTGGATGCGCTTTTAAAGAAAGAACGTAACAAGAAAGCCTTTCTTATTGGTGATACATGATTGGATCGAGGAAAAACAAAAGTATTCGTAGAAAAACTGTTAAAGAAAAAGACGTCAATGATCGTGGTGTTGCAGTATTTACCGTCGAGATTTCGTGGGTGGGTTAATTAAACTTAGCGCTCCCGAAGCCTAACAAATTAGCTGCCCATGACCGAGACATCCATATTTCCCACCTAGGATTCTTCAGTATTGGCGACGTCAACAGAACCTAATACGCAAAGTTGAGTTTCCTCGGCAATTCATTACCTCTTGTAAATCCGCTTCCTTTGCGAGTATTGAACATGGACTGCTCAGAGATGCGGGATGATGACCCTTGTCTAGGCCCAGGTCAACAACCTGCAGCCAGCAGCCGCCCGGCAGACCACATGGTCCCTATAAGCGCTCAAGTTGACATTCCCTCTGTTATCTCACCTCATCTCGGCCTGAACTGAATTAACAGCTTCTCATATCTGGCACTAAATTGTACACCGCAGCATATCCTCAATGGCCATGTCCACGACCTTTTGCAAAGCATGTTCCGGTATCTTTCAGGGGCATTACGTCCCATCAAATGTCCTGTCCGAAAAAGATATGGTTGATGTTCAAGACACTGATTTTGGAATTCCTGGCTTCACGAAAGACGTAACTGAATGGAAAGTCAGACTGGAGTACGCAACAGGCCAAGACAAACCAACACCATATTTCCATCACAGCCTCCATGACCTGGCTAAAAATGCGGACAAGTGCAGTCTATGTGCTGTCATGTCGGAGAGGATACAGTCGGATAAACAGCCAGCGGCCATTCCTCAGAGACTGAAAGAGGTGAAGGAAATGGGGAAGAATATCATTGGAATCCCGATTATCAAGCCAAAGCCGGGGACATTTTGTGGCATGTTCACTCTTGGATTTCTGTATGTCACTTGGAGTGGACAGAAGTGGCAGGGCCATACTTTTCAAATATACCAAGCTTTTTTAACAGTCGGTCAGTACCAGGTTCGTCCTTTTGACACAAACTATTCTAATGCGACCAGACACTTCAAAAGCAGATAACCGATTTATATGGAAACCCAAGTACGATCGACAAGAATCGTTGCTACGAATAAAAAATTGGCTTAGTTCATCGTCAACGATATCCAGATTGACTCCTCGGCTGCCAACAAGGCTGCTTCACTGCCGACCGTCAGCTAATCCAGGAGGAGATCCTACAGTTAAATTAGTCAATACGGTTGGTTTTGACGTGTCTACTCGTTACATCGCCCTCAGCCACCGCTGGGGTGCAGTACAACCGCTCATGTTGTTGGAGTCTCTGAGAGATACATTCTCTAAGAACATCCCCTTCGATACGATCCCCCCAACATTTCAAGACGCCATCAGATTGGCCAACGCGCTGGACGTTGAGTACATTTGGATTGACTCGCTCTGTATCATTCAAGATTCCAAGGATGATTGGCAGACCGAAGCTGCACAGATGGCTTCTATTTACTCCCTGTCCTATGTCACAATCTCCGCTACTGCTGCCCAAGATTCTGCAGCTGGCCTTAGAGAACAACATCCGATGCTGAAACATCCTTGTGAGGTCATTCCATCCTGGACAGGGTTTGAGAATCAGATTCCACCTGTGCCTGTCAGGATCGTGAACAGATCTGCTTTCTGCGACGCAGTCCTTGCCCAGCCCCTGTTCCGTAGGGGATGGGTCTTCCAAGAATGGATTCTATCACCAAGGACCATACACGTTGCCCGAGACCAGCTCTGGTGGACCTCAGCCTCAGATATGACCTCTGAAGGTTTTGCTGCAAACGAGACATGTGAAGGCTTTGACTTTGATGTTCATCGAGAATACATCCATACAATGGCCCCTGGGACCCTATATTCAATGGAAAGCCAAAGTGAAGAGAGTCTACAGCTCGTGTGGCATACTTTACTGCAAGAATACATGTCACGCTCGCTCACATTTGAGTCCGATCGCTTAGTAGCATTTGCCGGTATTGCTAGCTTTTATCAGAGTCATACGAAGATTAAAGCGAACTCTTATTTGGCGGGAATATGGCGCCATGTTCTCCTTCAAGATCTATTATGGACTATAAGTGAGGGTAGAAAAGTCTCGCCGCCACAGAATTACCGCGCCCCATCGTGGTCCTGGGCCTCAGTTGAGCCAGCACCAGATACGAAAAAGAAGTTCCTGATAGGGAGCCAGGAGATAAACATAAAATTGTCAGAGACGGAACAGCCTTGGGTCTGTACAGCCACTGTTATTGAGGCATCTGTTGCGATAACGGGGTCGGAATTTGGGTCTGTTTCTGGAGGATACATTGTCCTCCAGGGGCCATTAATCAAGGCTCGGCTTTCTATGAACATGATCGACCTATCGAATCGTCTCACGGAAGAACAGGCTTTGGAGTTCGTACCAGGCGGGAAGTTGCGATTTGTCCAAAATCGTGTTACAGTACCAGGAGGTCCAACTGTGGCAACCATGGGAGCATATACACATATGTCGGCGACCAGAGCTCTACTCGATGATGTTATCCCAACTGTGCTGGCTGAAGAGGTTGTCGATATTTATCTTTCAGTCTTCTACTGCCGCTTCAATCGCGATGGAAGTCCTATTGGCCAAGCATTGGTTCTTGTTAGAGGCATCGAGAAAGGAGAGTTCCGTCGAATTGGCCAAGTTGGCATGACTGGAGAGACCATAGAGCCCTGGGCTGAGAATAGGGATTTTAGCAAGTTTGCACCTCTTACAGACGAGGAAGAATTTCTCAGTATGGGGAATCGACCTGGAATCTACAACTATCGAATTGTCTAGTCTATCATTGAGCAGTCTCATCAGGATTCATCGCCGTCCCGTCCAGGCCATAGAAGCTTCCTACGGATCACCGCTGAGATCATTCCATATAAAACAACAAACCACATGATCACGAGCAATATTGTCATTACACTTGACACCCACTTAATCCCTTCACTCTGCAATTCCTCACCAATGTACGCTGTGGCTAGGGTGAAGCCAATATTCGGGAAGACAAAAGCCCACCAACTCATGCTGAACTTCAATTTCCATCTCAATGCAGAGGCGAGAACGGCGAAGAGGCTGAATCCAAGGAACCAGAAGCCAACACACCAGATCCATACGCCAGTCCAGAGTGCCAACACTTGAAGGATTTCGTTCGCCATTGGGTATGTTGCAAAGTAGCCATAGCCTTCTGGAAGCGATCTCGACATACCGATGATGGCCACCGCTGTGTATCCTGCTGGGCCTACAGCGATGAACATGCCAGGTCGCATTGCTGGTGCTGGGAGACCATCCTGCATCAACCTGCCCAAGTACAACGGATACATGAACAGAGATACTGTCCACCCAAGACCCTGGAAAGTCAGGCCAGCTACTAGCATTGACATTCGATGTTCCGGGCTCTGAGAGGACATGAGGGCAGAAGCGAGGGTCCCAGTGAGCATTGCTGGAAATACTGGTAGAATCCATGCTGGTGTCATGGAATGAATAGGCAAATGAGCCCCGGTGAAAAGGACATAGAACTGGACTATGGCGGATAAGATCGAAAGCCCAGCATACAACCAGAAACACACTCGCAATGCAGTAGCTAGCCACGGCCCAGTAGCGGGAATACCATATACAGTTGCATTCGCAATGATAGTAGCGACGCTGAGTAGAGAGCACGGGAAGAAAAGACTCTCAGTGGGATGCATTAAGCTACTCCTCAGCGCATACGGCGTCTTCATGAAGCGAAAACCAAGACCAGATACGATGGCAACAAAAAGGACCAACGTAAGGATAAAGTAGATCTTGCCGATAACCTGCAGACCTCGAAACTGATGTGGCGTTGAGTGTAGCAGTAGCGCAATACCGCCTGTGCTCATGACAAATGTGAACCATGCCCATGTTATGTGCTTGAGACGTTCCACGATTCGAACGTTGGCTGTGGACTTGAAGCGTTTTTGCCCTGCCACTCGTGTATGGCCTTCTTTCCAGTTATCATTGTCCATGTCTTGGACGCGGCGTTTGAGGTCGAGACGGCCATCGCCGTCTGCAGAAAAAGACATTATGAGGCCGAAACAGAGTGTGAAAACATGAAAGATGAAGCTTGGTGGAGGGTTCAGTTGACAAAGGTTGAGCTCGTAATTGGAAAAGGTCCACTGTTTGTTTGTTGATCAAGGTCGTGACGAAAGTCTAAGTTGGTGATGGGTCATCGTTAGTCATGATTAGGCCAGGGAGGCTGAGATGCGAGGTTCTTGATAAGCCAATCATTAAAACGCGTCCAGTGAGATTTTAAAGGTGTCGAGCGTTGATCAAAGGTTATTTAATGGCGTTGTACTAAAAGTTATTTGAGGTTGATTGAAATAGCGTGAGACATCTCCCGCTTCAACGAGCGAATGGGATGATGTCAGCTCATGAGGAGCAGACATCCATTAGCTACCGAGATAACGCTCCATGTACAAATAATTGAAGGCGGGTAGTTTCGATTTGCTCATTTGTAAGTAAGGAGCCGCTGAGTACATCTGCCTTTTGCAAGACATAATGTTGGACAGTGTCCCTAGATATCCTGCATACTTTACTCGTTGATTGAAGCTACACCGTAAAAATCTGAATACCCAGCTATTGAGCCTGCAATTATCTCAAGCTTGCTAAATAATTTGATACTGATAACGGGATCCAGCAAGTGATCTGCTTCGCAACGCTCCAAATGGGCTTAACACAAATGCAGGCCTCGTATAAATTCCAACCATTCTGTCAACCACACCCCCGCCAATACTCCCATTTCTTATTCTTCGTGCCAGGATATTGGGGCACCATGTCATCTAATAGCGGACGAATTTTATTCTCTGTAAGGTCCTCGAATTCCTGGTCGAAAGCAAAGTCTCTGGTGTTGAGCACCACAGCAAAGTCAAAATCCCCATTGCTCTCGACATGGGTGCGGGCACCTTCGAAGTTACCTCGACGATAACCATTCTTTCGACGCCCAGTTCCGCTCACAGCTGTGCCAGTGTTAGTTCATAGAGACAGTTATAAGGTACAGGCGTGCTACTTACCATGGGACCCAGCAAACTTGGCAATGGTGCTGGCACTTGCTTTTAGAGAAAATGCAGCGGTGCACTCTTCCATTATAGCACCGTATCCCCCGTAGACTGCTGCAACTGACCTATTTGACATCGGGCGCAGCGTATCCAATCCAGTCAGGCGGCTTTCCTGGATAATGCGATCATGCCAGTGTTCGTATGGAGAGGTCTTGTACAGCTCTACATCCAAGCCTCGAAAGATGTTCTTTTCCAAGAAATCCATGTATGGTATTCCCGTGACGTTGCTCACCAGATACCCAAGGAGCATAAATCCATAGTTTGAATATGCTTTCTTTTCGCCTGGGGTAAATTGTAGAGGGTGAGCGAGCATATACTCAATGACATCGCGGGTAGTGGCTGTTCTGTTTCCCTTTGTAGGGAGGGACATGGTAACCTTGTTGAAGCCTAGTGAGATATCCTCGCCGGCTTCACGTCGATCATATCCTCCCTTATGTTCAAGTAGCTGTTTGAAAGTGATATCATTGGCCCGCTCGTCCTTTGCGTCGAAGTAACCCAGTCGCTTATAAACCTTTGTCTCAGGAGAGAGTTTGCCGCTGTTTATGAGGCGGTCAACAGCAGCAGCAGTGAACATCTTACTCACGCTGGCTAGAAGAAAGGTATCGTTAGTTGCAACAGTCTCACGGTCGTCTTCGGCCCAAGTATAGGCCCTCTCGGCCTTGATTACGCCCCTTGATGCTATGGCCACTTGTGCTTGTCTGACACCATTTGTCTTCATGAACTTCTCCATGATCGAGTCCAGTGATTTGGCCTTCCTTGGGGACTCAACAATTCCTTTCCATGTGGCGTACCAGTGACGATACTCTGGTTTCTTCCCTGTGACGTGCCAGTGGCGAGTCTTTGGTTCTAGAAGTTCTTGAAAGATGACGTTGTAAAACTCCTCGCCCTCGTGTACACCGCCTTGTATATCCGTCAGGATCAGTCCCTTTGATGTCTGTTCCTTGATAGTCGCCTCGAGGGCTGTTTCATTCAAGTGTGTGTCGCTGTACCAATCCCCAACACTCGTGTCAGTGAAGAGTCCAGCGATCTTGAGATCGTTAGACATAAAGAGCTTCTTGGGACGCCAGAAAGGCTTCGAAATCTCCCCTCTGAAGATCCGTTGGAAGTCCTCCTCTTTTGAGTCGGCGTACAGAGCGAAATTCTCATTTCCACGATTCTCGTGACGCAGAATGCAATACTTCCGTTTGTCAGGCGTGCCGTACGAACTGAAGCCTTGTGTTTTCATTTTTAACCCTGATTCGGTTCTTTCAGTAAACGGTTTCCAGTTCTTGATACCACAGTCAAGTTTCCAGACGGTCTTGTTTGGCTTTCTGTCTTCTTCCATAACACCAGCAAAGATAGCTTCCTCTTCAGCACCAGTGGCCGTAACATGGGTGAGAACATAGTTTCTCTTTCGTAACTTTTCGACCCAAGAATCGAAGACTGGCTTGGCTACATCGTGGGTCATCTGCAAATCTGGGCCAAGTGGCTCATGAACCCAAATTGCAGAGTAACGGGCGTCATGAGGAGGCCCATAAGAACTCAGCGAAGTTGGTCGGTAGCCCATTTTCAAAAGGTGGTGGAGTCTTTCAGAGTGCTTATGACCGGGGAAACCATGGTAGTATTCAAACTGCGGAGGGGACTGTCGAAAGGGGGGCGTTTTGAGATGCTCGCTAGCTGTCACTGATCCGTGCAATGACAGGAGGGTTGCCAAGAGGCACCCTATCAATCGTGAATGCATTAGAGGACAGTACTGAGGACTTAGCACTGCTATGATGCTATCGGACTGACGATTGTTAGAAATATTTCTAGGAATAAAAGTGTGTGAATTGAAGTAGTAGGTAACAAGGGAAAGAAGAGCGAACAGGACAAGATACATTCTCATTCTTTTCCAGTGAGAGCTTGCTAAAGTCAGTTCTACATAAGCTTGGCACGTCTCGAAGTATCTCATATCGTTCTGTAGATGTAGACATGGAGGGAAGGTTTCTAGTGTCAACCGCCAACTCTTATCATCCTTATATCTCATATTCGGCCTCGCTTGGTCCATTCAAGAACGTCCTGAGATGTAGTTCTCGCGGCCTATTGGCGTGTTGCAAATCTACAAGGTTTCAAAAGGCTTTCATTGTGGCGAATAGTCTAAAACGAAAGAGGATTCTATTTATACCTGCAGTGCTTCACATTTTGGGTTTGACGATAAGCATTTATAGTGGTGGGTTCAAGAAGATGACTGGCCTGGAAGACGATAATAGTTTACTGAATTATCAAAATTTCATGGGTTAGTCCAGCGTGATTGGATCTCAACAGAATGATGTATATTCCCATCAAGATTATTGATGGCTTGAAATTCGGTAGTAGCTAGGTCTCTCAAGCCCAGTCAACAGGTGCTCGGCAAACTGGGCATTCAGCAAATATAATACAGCAAGGGCTTACTAAATTTCCGTTTAGTTATTTTCAGGAAAGCAGCATCCATGTCTTCTAGGACGAAATTTTCCTAAAAGGTTGATGCTGACAGCGAAGCCGACATCCTCTCATTGTCAGGTTTATAAGTGGACCGACGCAGGAACTAATAGATATCCTATAATTCAACCAAGTTAGTAAATGGGCATTATGGTGCTTAGAAACAGTTCCGGGACCTTTGGCGATATTCTTAACGTCAACGTCCACGCTATAACATCGTTTGATTTCTTCTCGCTACTAGCGATCCTGATGGCCAACCTTTCATAAAAAATTAGAACAACCGTGTTTGATACAGAGAAAGAAGGAGAAATCTCAGCATAGAAAACAAGTCGGTGCTTCAGACCGATCGAATTTCGTCGTTATCGAGGAGGCTTTTCGAGGGTGCACAGTAGCTTTGTGTGACACTCAACTACCAAGTACGTACAATTCTCCGACTACAAGGGCGCACAACGTCCATGTTGAGACTGAACACAAGTTCCAATCAGAGAACGTCAGATAACCGAGTTGTCTCGTCGAGGGAGATAACATCCTTTGGCCTTGATTGTTTGCGTCTAGTGAGCTCTTAGCCAACAGAGGGCTGAAGACTATCGAGGGATGAATTTATTGGAACAAAAGCCCCTGTTTTCGGTTTCCTGGAGAGGTATTGCCCCTCGTGTATTTGCCCCGGTTGAGAGCATTGATCAGGCCTCCGTTGATAAGTCGTCTCACGATGTTGGCTGGTCTTTGGTTATGTTGCGTCGATCTGATCTCAAATTATAGCTTTACAGACTATACCTGAAACAGCTAGAACGTTCCACCTTGCCCCATCTGTGCGGTCCCGCCGCGTCTTTGGCGATCTCGCCTGATTGTGCATGGTTAACTAGGGCAACTGCATTTTATCACGTTACAGCGTCTGATGCAAGGTCATTTGACGACGTTGGTAAGTGTGTTGAGAGAAAGATTTGCGATCAAGAGGTTTCAGAGTATCTCATCTGACATATCTTGTTGCCTCAAAAGATCACAACTGCTGTGCCTATCTGCTTGGCTCGGCTCTGGTAGATGATTATGACCTATCACACTCAGCCTCACAAGCACAAGTCGAGTGATACAAAGAGATGATAGCCACAATGTCGCATCTTGACCGGCTTTGGTATCTTGCATCATCTCTGTACAACGTCGCTATATAAGGCTTGGGTACCAATAGAGCAGCTCTAAATGTTGTGCAACAGCCAACTCAGATGATCACGACCCATCTATGATAAAGCTAGGCCTTGTCAGACTGACATTGTACATCCTCATTTGACTCGAGGCTTTCGAGAACAACGACAAGCGAGCCAATGCCTGTTGAACACAATAACAGGACCAATTTATCTAAATCAATTTCTCGGGTAGTTACAGGTGAATGGGAGTGAGAATACGAATATCTGCAGTAAAATGTGATCGGGTGATTGCACAGTGCCCCGGTTAGATCCAAATCCACGATGCTAGCCCAGTGGATGGCTCGCTGCAAGTCGTCCCTTGCAGCGGAAGGGCCAACGATTTGAGCCCTGAAG